TTTTTGGCTTTTTGAGACAGGGTCTCCCTGTAGCCCCAGCTGTCCTGGAACTTACTATGTAGACCAGGTTGGCCTTGAACTCACAGAGATCTGCCTGCCTCTGCCTCCTGAGTGATGGGATTAAAGGCGTGTGCCACCATGCCCAGCTACCTCTGAATTTTTATAAATCACATTTTATAAAGCTATACATATTATTTTATATAGACTATAAAGAATTAACATGCATTTGGCCCAGTGATTACTACTCCATTTTAGAATTCACACTATATTTTGTTATATTTAATTATAATGAGTTAATAACAATTTTAAAAAATAGATTTTAAAAATATAGTTTTTGAGATACACAATGAGAGAATTCACCTAAAAATAAAAAAGCATACTTAACTTATTAAACTATTTTTTGCAAAATATTTAAAATGTAGGTAATATAATATACTTTTATGAGTTCGTTTGGATCCTACTGTTTATATGCTCAACTAGTACTTGTACATTCAATTATGACATGTATGCATATTTCAATTTTTTTCTTACATTTAAAAAGCACAAGAGTTGTGTTTTAAAACAAGCCCAAATGTACCTTGCATAAATGTATTGTTGTAATCCATCCCATGATTAAATTATTGATAAAAATAATAATTTCATAAAGTTTAGTGTCTACTGCATAGAAAAGTGGGGTTTTCTTTCCTCTTAAAAAGTGAAAATAATTGGTGCCATCTAGTGGCAGTAAATGCAGAAGAATTCTGAAAACTCAGACTGCTGAGTCTCAGGCAAGTGACCCAGGAGTGGAATGAGGGAGCTTAGGCTAAAAAGTTACTCCTTCAGCAAGAAAATCCGGGTTGTTCACTGACTTAAGCATCCCTCCCCACCTCAGTCCAACCACCTCCTGTCCTGCTGGTGCTGAGCTCGCACTGGGGTCTCAGGAATCACTCTTTGGCTTCAGCACTGCAGTGGAACAGCTGGGGAAACGCCAAATGCGGTCAGGCCAGCAGAAAAGGAATGAAAAACACTGATCTAACCAGCTCCTGTGTTAGTGCCTTTTGTGTTTCTTTTCACTAAAAAGCCCACGCGCAGGGCTGGAGAGATGGCTTAGCCATGAGCAGCGCTGACTTCTTGCTGATGACTGGGGTTTGGAGCCCAGCACTAGCATGGTGACTAACAACCATCTGTAATTCCAGTATCAGGGGATCCAGCACCCTCATCTGACCTCCACAAGCATTGCACGTGTGTTGTGAACTTCCATACATGCAGGCAAAACACTCATACACATTTTTAAAAAGTCAGTCTGTGCCTTCTGATTCCCACTTGTACCCCACACCCCAGCCCCTTGGAAGCACTGTAAACCTCAGGTCATTTTGCCCAGCACTGGGGTCCATCTGACTGGTCTGATGTGCTCATTGGTGCTCGTTTTTTGTAGGCTAACCTCCTGCAATAATGACTTCTATACAAGAACAGGGACTCTTCAATCATAGTCTTTCCTTGTCTGGAAGCTCAGAACTGTATTTGCAAGTGTTTGCTGCTCTGGGGAGGCAGTCAGTGAATAGTTGGGGAGTGAACTGGTGTGGTGGAAACATGCATGTGTGAACAAATAAGTGGGCACTCACTCTGATCATTCTGCTGGCCATATGCATGAAGTAGCTAGAAGAAGACCGTTTGGGTGACAGTCTCCATTGCACCAGTCTGGAGCTCTAGAAACCCTAGAGAAAGAGCACTCATGCTGTTGACTGGCATCATTCTCACCCCCTTCCTCTTCTTCCTTCTCATTTTGTCCTTTGCATCTATGTTACCTTTGCCACCCAATCTGCTCCCTCTAGTGAAATGGAAAAATTCTCTATTACTTTCTAACCTTTAAAGAGTCTTTAAATAATGCTTATCGAGACCCTTGAATAGATGTGAAGACAGTTGACTCTTACCTGCTTTTTGACTGTATGTTTCCCATTTGTTCACATGTGATCCAAAGCATAGAGTTTACCTTGTAGGATCAGAACATTTGAGGTTTAGTGATTACCATGCCTCCCCATTAATGATGCTCTTTACATCTTAAGATTAGGTTTTGGATGATGAGCAGTGTGGGAGGGCAATATGAGACATCCTATGAAAACTTCATTATAAAATCGGTATTGCTAATCTGAGGTTTCCCTTTGGGCAAAAGAATTGATCACAGTTATGATTTACCTGTAGAGATTCTTTAATAAAAAACTATAAAAAGCAACAGTAGAATTGATCAAGGTTGTAAGAAAGCACTCCAGAATTAGAAATAGAAATAACCAATAAAGCAGTTTAAGAAAAAGTATGCACAAACTTCAGGTAACATACAATATATTTCTAGAGTTAATTCAATCTCTCTTCAGCAAGAAATTCCCTATCATACACCTTTCTGAGGTAGATTTTTTTTAAAGACATCATCACAGTCTTTTTACTAAGTTTTTATAGTTTGTCAGTGCAAATGCTCCAAAGGAACATTTCAAAATTGGGCACAGTGACACAAATTTGTACTCCTAGAATTCAAGATGCTGAGGGAGGGTGGTGGCAAGTTCATAGCCAGGCTGAACCTACGGTTATTAGCGTAACTCTCACTATTAATGTTTTCCTTATGCAAAGGCCTGTGCACATCAGTGGCGTACAGAATTTAATCTGCTCAGAGTTGTCTGGGCATCCCCAGCTTTTCTCATATCAGAGCTTCTCTCTAGGTGTGTTTTCTCCCTGTGTTCTTGCTCTCTGTAAACTAAGTTATGAGGAGCAGTGGCGAACTACCCAGAAGCACACTTTCAAGACCGCATTCAAGCACAGGCTAGATTCCAGTATCTTCTAGAGTTCCCCCCCTTAATCTTGCTTCCTACTTCCCTTTCTGAGCAACACCTCTCAACCCGGTTTGAGGGGTTCCGAATTTGGCTATTAAATAATTTCTTGACCTTTTCATGTGGAAAATGCCTAGCTTCTACCAGGGGCATTGACTCCCTGCCTCATTTGACAGCCACATACCCAAATAGTTGAAATCAGAGACAAATTTAATCTCTGATGTAATTTTTTAAAGCTTATTATGAAGTGCAAATTAAATCTTCTATTATCTACTCAGTATTTCTCTATTTTCCCACAATGATTTTATAAGTAGTCCTGGCATTCAACATTGGATGATGAACACCCTATGATTTTCTTTAAGTGCTTCTGCAGAAAGATGGAATACATGAAAACAGACTTCAGTAGACTGACAATAATGCACAAAGAATGAAGGTGACCCTCATCCAGTGCCCTGAAATATTGACAGCTATTATGAGGGAAAAAGTAGCATCACATATTCCATAGGAGGAGGAAAGAAATGTATAATAAACCCACAAAACAGAGGAACTGACCAGTGAATTTCCCAGGCAAGAATAAATTTTCTTAATGATCGCATTCCTGGCGCAGCAGCCATTTTAAGGTGACACAAAAGTTTTAAGAATGGGGAACATAGTTCACATAATTAGTTTCCTTTAAAAGTGCTTCTGGTATGATTACATATCAGTTCATCACATATAATAATGTGATGTCACATTACCATGGCACAATACCTTCTTAAAATCTTTAGTTATTTGAGAAATACACATTTTATTTTGAGGACAAGTGGCAGGAGGTTTACTGTTGTATCATGGAACACTTCATGTTTTTACACAGACCCGGTGTGTGCAGTAATCCTAAATACTCAGAAATCAGGGCAGAGGAACCCCAGAAGACATTGGACAGCACATGGAATGAGTGATTCTCAAAGATAAATGTCATGTGCTCTGAATGTTTGGTCCATTAAAGAACTGGCATTTCTCCTTGCTGCCTCTCTGGTATGATACCAACCCTTGATGCTCTGTCCTGACATTGCTGCTGAGAGAATGCTAAACTCCAGACTTGAAATTTGAGTAGGATTTTCATTGACACAGAAAAATGACCACCATTTTTTGTTTTGTTTTCCACAATGATTCAGAGGCTTCTACTGCAATATGGCTATAGTCTGTTTCGATTCTCTCTGCATTGGTATTTTTCTATGTGGTTTAGACATGATTTATTAACCATTTTTGCTATGCCTTACCCACTGCAGAGTAACAATACAAATACATTATTTCTTGACTTTTTATTAGCACATATGAACTCTGCATTATGACGGACTTCAGTACCACCGGTGAAAACCAAACGCAGTGGTGCATGTCTGTAATTCCAGAGCTGAGGGTGGAGACAACAGGATCCTTAGAGGTCACTGGCTGGTGGCCTTGCTTCATCAGTGAGTTCTAGGATCGATTAGAGATCCTGTCTCAAAAAATAAGTTGGAGAGCAACTAAGGACAGTGCCCAGTATCAACCTCTGACTACCAGACACACATGCACTATCATGCACGCATACACAAGCTGACAGGAACACCTATGTACACTGCACACATGCACAGAGAGAGAGAGAGAGAGAGAGAGAGAGAGAGAGAGAATGAAGATCTTTTCTGCTTCAGCGTGATGACTATTTCTATGTATTCCATGACATGAAAAAAGACCA